GCTGTCGGTTTGTATTTTGGGGCAACATTAAGTACTTTTCTGTTTAGCTGAGAGCTCGTTAAGTGACGAGTGTTTAATCTTTAAAAACATTTGCTGTGGTTTTTCACTTCCACTTGGTCAGTCAGCGTGAGCAGAGGTCAGATATTAGCATATTATAACGTCCGGTCAATGCAGTAACATCCAGTTATACTAAATCTGTTAACATCAAATTTAATCTCAATTTTTTTACAGAAGTAATCTCTGATGTTTTGTAGTCTCTGACCTACTGAGCAAAGAGGAGAAATCACCTCTTCTCGAACAATCGCTTCAGATGCTGTAAAAGCATGGCTCACTTATACAGCAAATCTCCCATATGGCAAAAATCAATAAGCGGTGCGAGACTCTATTGATCATATCTGTATCACGGATGCATACTGACGTCCACCAGCCAAGCGCGTGTAAATGTGTGTTGATGTAAGTGGACTGAGTAGAGGCGTTCATTACAATGCAAACAATATTTTTTTTGAAACCTTTAGCTGCTTTAAAATTACACCTCAGTCTTCCTTTGGATTATCAGGAGTGTTTTATTTACTTTGTGAGCATCTAAAGTGAAGTAACTGGAGTGCAATGCAATGTTATCATAAGCAAAGGGAAGAAGTGGAGGCGGGGGGAGGGGACAGTTACACGGACCAACTTTTTGGCAAAACCAAACCAGCATACAACTGCCTCATTCTTCCTTGGTGTGTACAAATATCTCTTCTAAAGTCATCTTTATCCCACAGGGACAGAACACCTGTAGACTCGCCGCCGTGTTCATGTCATTAAAAAAAAAAGAAAATGTTGTTGTCATCAATTCCTATGATATAAAAGAACTTAATGTGATATGAATGAAACAGCTCAGATAAATTATCTCATTGATTTCTCTATATATTTGCAATGTAACGACAAGGCACAGGGCTGCCCTCCGCAGGAAGCGAATGGCCATAACAGAAATAAAAGGATGCATTCTTGAAAAAAAATCCAAAAAACTGAAAACAAACCACAGGGACTCGTTGCACTCTCCACGACTTACTGAGAACGATCGTTACCCTAACATTTTCTTTCCAACTCCGTAACTTCCTTCCTCTCTACTTTGTTTTCTCCCTTGCCTCTTTTCATCCCCCCGCCCGCCCAATGTCTCTCTCGGCACCTCAAAGTTATTGATAGTTTAAAGTTATGGGCTAATAATAAGATGGACACTGCATGGCCAGGAGCCTATTATACCCAGGTAATGGATAGTGAGGGGATTTTGAATGACATTGCCAAGAGATTGGATGACGGAGGATGGAGCAATTTATGGCCTCCCCAAAGAGCCCCTGTTCCCCTTTTCGCTCTCGCTGACACGCGCACACGCTATTCGCTGCTATTTATCTCTAGCTTGATAAGGAGGCAGATGAGGCATGTCTGCATTTATGGTGAAGATGTTCATAAAAACTACCGGCTCAGAGCAGGAAGTTAGAATTGAGTCGGGGGAACATCATATCTGCTCCAAACTCCACATGGTTCTCTTTAAAAACTAAAATCCCATATATTAGTTTTTCATTTCTGATGTGTTTGGTTTGACATGAAATGTGACTTGCAGCTGTTGCTGTGGGTTTTTACATCTACTGAGCATTAGAAGTGTTTACAATAGTGCCGCATTGACCGATACTCCCTAAAATAAAAATATTTCTCTATAGCTTTACAAGAAAGCACTACACACGAGCCATCGGACCAATCAAGAAAAATATCAACATTTCTGCCTTCTTGTTTTGCCAAACAGAATTATTAAACAACTCAAATAACTTCTGCACAGATGACACGCACATGTCGGATACTTTCACCCAAAACGAAGCAGCAGCGAGGGCTGAGATTCAGAGCCCTCGCTGCACAGAGAAGCAGACGTACAGTGCATCTGTGTGCCCGGTCTTCAGTATGTTTGCTCGTAATGGCCCGCTGCAGCTGGTTTGCACTGAGAAATAACAGTAAGGGTAGACATACTTCAGGAAGAAGGGAGCAGGAAGAAGACGAGCGAGGAGGGCACGAGGGAGAGCAATGAAAAAGGCTTGTCAACATTATCTGTTTTATTGATTTAACAGTAAAGGCTTGCCGCTTAAGCTTTATGTTGCTTTGGCTGGCCCATTGAAAATACAACAGCTGCAAATAAAAAACGATTTCCTAAAAAACCTGAACGTTCTTATTTATTTATTTGCTTTTCTTTTTTTTTTTTTAAATCTTATTCCTATCGCCCACTCACTAGCTCAGGTTGTGCATGCATCGTTGTTAGGGTTTTACACATTTCATCATTTTTACGAGCATCATTACAGAGGGACCATATTTTGCTGGACTCTCCCACACCAAAGGGATCCATGACACTATAGAAGGCAATAGCATCTACATGACCGTAGTGATACACTGTAACACAAGGTTTAATTAACATATTAAGAGGGTCATTAAACAAAATTAAAATATAAAGACAGGCTCAATTAAACACAAGGAAATCTTTAAGCCTAAACCTTCAAATCATAAAAATTTGCAAAGAAAATTAGTATCATTTTAGCCTTTGGAATTTTTTTTATTTTTATTTCTGTCATTATTTTTTTACATTCTATAAACTGCAGCTGACCAAAAAAGAATCATATGAATCTTTCAGTGTTTTCTGCAAGTTAAAATTGTTTAGTCAAACATATATGGACCTCATCTGTTGAATTTGTTTAAAACAGATGCTCACACAGAACCTAACCTAGAAGAGAAGTCACTCAAAAGTGTAGGGATAACAGTTAAACGGTTTATAGTGGCACCTGCAAGCAGAGATGGCTGAGGAGGAATTATTAATGATGACTGTCCTGATTACAGGATCAGTTCATCAATTCAGTCACTGGAGAACGAATCATGGTACCAGATTTTCCACGGTTGTGCAAGAGAAAAATATCCAAACTCGGTTGAACAACGTGGGGCCAAAATCAAAAGTCTTCTGCAGACAATGAATTTCTGTACAAAGAGTCATGAGAGTTTATTCGGCAGCTGTCAAGATATTTCAGTATGGACAAAAGTTCGACCAGCACCCACAAGCAGACACTGATAGAACAACTTAGAGTTACTTTTAGTGAATAGGAAAAGTAAAAATACCATGCTCACTCCCCTTCCTCCCCAGGTTATCTGACTTTTGTCAGTAAAGAAAATTAAAGCACAAACATGAGCATGTTGGAGCACATTTACACCAACAACCCTCTTAAACCTTTTTAATTATTTCATTTGTTTTTAGCATGTTGTGTGGTAGCTCGTTTCATAGGTGAAGTAAAAATTCTCCATCTTTAATTGTCACAGTGAGAAGAGCGGGGTCAAAAGAGCAGAGTGCAGCCTGGTAGGGTTCCTGAAAGAGCCACTATGTAGCTCTTTTATCACTGAGCAGCTGGGTATTACCACAGGCCTCTTATAGCTGACCAAAAATCCCAACAGCACCAAGTCTCACACACACAAACACACAAAGGAACTATGCATGGTCTGTCCATTACCTTTGAAAGTATGTAGTAAGACAAAGAAAATATAATCTGTGATGTCAAAAGTGTAACTGCAAATATTTCATTTCTTTATTTAAACCTAGAGCCTGAGGCGAGCCGTCTCTGAGGCTGCTTATTTTACATTTTGATCCCAAACTTTGCCATTTTGCAATATACCCACAATACATTGCTGGAAAGAAAACCAGAGATCCAAGAGAATAACAGAGGCTGGACAGCGGCAGACACGCCGCTGCATGGAAAAGAATAGAAATCCATGTTATGCATTAGCATGCAAAGCAGTGCATTTGTATAATAAGAGCCCAGAAAGAAAACCTTCTTCATTAATTACTGTCGACACAGAAAAAAATATAATGAGATATGAGGGAGAAACAGAAACTATTTATGGTAACCAAGGAGCCGGACGTAATGATCAGACCGCAGCTGAAACCTCTATTGATTTTCCCTTTAAATATACAACTCAATTAAAGATACAGCTGATTAAAAGACAACTACAAATCGCAGCAGCAGATCTGGAGACGCTGCCGAGGCTGGCTGACCCGGGGCCGCCCGCTGCAGTGAGAGAATTACACGATTTCATATCCGAGGCTTCCCCGCAATCACTGCTGAGGAAAGTAAGGCTTCAGATAACTCTTTTTTTTGTTTGTTTCATATTGTGACCATTTTAAAATGGAGCCGTAATGGCCACAGACACACCTCATGAATTT